ACAGTATACAGGCATACTGAGATACACACCAGTGCACACACGCAGTGGTACTCAGAATCCTCAAGCAGGCTGTAGCAGCGCTGTTCACCTAACTCCACCAGAACGTTTATTCCCTTAATAAATATAAACTTACTTAGTGGTATGGATTGAGTAATCAATGGTTGTAATTCCTGCAGATTATGGACTTGCTCACCCATTTCCCCTCAAACTGTTTTTCAGGCTTTTGTGAAAGACTACTTCCATCTGCCCTCAGGCAGTAAGAAATAAATAATCATTAGTATGCTCAGGATGTAGTTATGGCACAAATACTGTCTAGACTTGCAAATCCATTAGTTCATTTGCTTCATATAGACTTGCCCTTGCTTACTGAAGTCATTTACATCATTGGCTCTCACTTTAGAGTTGTCACTAAACGTAGACATGGCCATTTTTTGCCTTGTGATTAGAGGCCCTTTGAATTTATTATGCAAGAGACACCGCACCTAATCAAAAGGTATCATTTTAGCCCTTGTTCTAGGGAAGGACTCTTAGTCTGACGAAATCTTTTCGAAAGGATTAGTCTGTCCTTTGGTACTATTACTGTATTACTGTAAATATAAAATGTTTAGCTTGACCGTGGGGACTAGCTAGTGTTTGACATTCACATGAGATTAACTGCTTGTAGCATTTTCCTAGGACTAAAGTGGTCTAGCAGACATTCACTAAGCCTTCCTTAGTGTGCAGTCTGGGCAACTGCTTTCTCCAAAATAGGTGGATGGGTTTTGTTGTTTGTTGTTTTTTTTTTTTGTTTTTTCTTTTTTTTTTTTTACGGAGGAGGAATTAATATGGGGAAAAGAGTAAAGTGAAGAAAAAAATTATCACCTTTCATGTCAAAATGACACTGTCTTCTCTTCAGTGGTTGTGGATTTCTATTATAAAGAAATAATAATATACAAAATAATCTTTTAATCGCTTGTAGATTTAATGATGCATGATTAACTGAGCTTCATTCAGTATTTGTGCAGAGAGAATATTGATAAATCTAAGTGTTAATATTAGTCTTCCACTGACGTGAAAAAGAATCTGACAGTACATTAATATGCATCACTTCACAATCACCTGGTTTATATTAATCCTATATGTTAATAGTAATTTTTTTGTTGTTAGTTGAAACATACATGTTTAATTTCTGGTATTGGATTGTTCCTCTGTCTTATAAATCCTTTTATTATAGTGGTTTGAGGTACGCATGTTAAAGATGATGTGTTTTTTTCCATCTTAGAGTTGCAGCAGCTGTCCGCAAATGAGACTCTTGTTATTGCTAAATAAGGGGCCAGACTGATACAGTCTGATAGACTGATAAATCTTGCTGTCTTTTTCCTCTCGTTGGCCTTGAAGATGAGCCCGTATATAGATTTTAGGGTTTATGTGTTTAGAATCAAGGCACAAGGATGTGTAAACTGCCCAGTGGTCCACCCAAGGCGACGCTCTGTCCAGTGCTGTTTAGGGACAACACTGAAGTTCCTTCAATGTATTGCCCACCATCCATGCATGTTCTCAGAGACATATTAAGGGTTACACCCCTGCCGGTTCCTTTAGATACCTGTTTATGGACCCGTTGTATATAAATCTAAATAATCCATTTCTAAACTTGTTTCTGCCATCTGCCTCCGCTATTTCCCATGTCAGCAAATCTGACTTTCTTTTGATTTCTCAAACTTTCCGCTTTCTTAAACGCTGGCTTTTCCACTGTGATTTTTGGGACTGCTCGTTCTAGAGTGTGTGGGAGTTAAGGATGTTTTTTTTTCTGGTGGTTATTGCTGATGGGCTTTTTCTTCCTTTTCCTGTTTTTGGGTATTAGCCTCATTGTTCCTATCTTGAAATCGGATATTTTTGTACTGGATTTAGTCGGTTGCTTTCTCCTGCTGCAATGTTAAATGGAATAGTATTGTAAGTACCGCTTCAGAGAGGCTTTTCCAGTTATGCTTGTGTGCCACTGAAGACCAAATGCTACCTTTCACGTAGATTTTTAGACTAGGCCTACTAGGATGCCCAATTTTCGTGTGGAATGATGGCAAAATTGAAGGTGAACAAGCCATTGTCTTGTGATCATCAGCTTTGAGGAGTATAGTGATAGAGACAGTCTTTTTAGTATGTGCATTTATGAAATGGTTTCAAAGAAATGGTATTTTGCTGCAAGTAGAGTTTATGCTTTCATAAATTAAAACCGTGCAAGACTTCTAAGAAAGCCACCTGATTTTCCCTGAAAGAGTAAAAGGTATTCATTCACGTTGCCTCCTCTTCACATTAGTGAAGTAGTAAATCTCTAACAAAACAGTTTTATGGGAGGAAATGCAGATATTTTATTATAGTCTTCATATATGTTTTCAGTTATGTAGTCTTTTTAAGCTTGTCTTGCAGAACAACAGCTTCATAAATTGTTTGAACAGAAACTTTTACCTTTTCCTGGGCAAGGCAAAACCAGATATAAGTGGAAATTAATATTCTACAATACTTCTCGATAATTCAGTGTGAATATAGAAATTAGTTATGGGAAGCACAGCTTTTGAATGCAGCCTTCTTGCTTGGATAGAGTTCCTTCATACTTTTAAAATCAGTATGCACTTAATCTAAACTGTTTTCTGGACTTAGTTTTATATAACAGAGTTATTGAAAACGCTTTTCTTCCATTTTAATCACAGAGGCTGACTTCTTATTTGTCATTGCTTGCTGAACTTTTTTGCAGTTTTAAATTTGAGACAAAAATAAACGATTAGTTTTGCTAAGCTGTCCTGCATTTAAATATTTTCAAATTGCTGAAAACAGTTAAACATTTTCTGTTATGTTGCTGATTTACTTACCAGCTAATATTTGTTTTACCAACAAAATTACCATTTATGTCTTCCTGATTTATTTTTCAGTTCTAACATTTCACTTCAGTGCTGTTTTTCTCGCTATCCAATGACAAAACAGTCTGTAAAAATACTATAGTAATTCAAGTTCTTCAGCTCAAGCCAAAATGTGTGCTCCTTTTCTGACAATACTATCAAATGATTAAACTAATGCAGCCATAACCTGCATAACTATTCAGACTGCTTTAGTGGTGGATTTCAAGGTTAACTCTTAAGTGTTAAGTTAATAGCTTCGAAGATGCTGTGGTGTGTACAATCGTCTTTATTTTTTCCACCAGTTCAGTTAAGCTTAAAAAGCTGTTTCACGATAATTTTAACATTACATGATTAGTAGTTCCTTTGGTACCCAGTATAAAATAGATTCAATTGAATATAAAATCAAGATTAAGCCTGTGATAAAGACAGCTGTATTTGTGCCTGACGTGTTTGAGTGTGCTTGTGAAAAGTTGAATCAATGGTGTTATGGCTGATATGAATAATTACTTACAAAGAATATAGAATTAATTTTTGTTCTGGGAACAGCTTCCTCATTCACAGGAATTTTATTTCCTGTACAGTGTTTTCAAGCCATCTTAAATTCCTGCTACTGTTTAATCTTGCATAGTCATAGCACAGTTTTTTTAAATGACAAAGAAATAGGAAAAGAAACCATTCTTTTGGAAAAAACTTTATGCAACTTTTCTACAAATGTTGTAGCATCAAAAAATAATAAAAAGCGGAAACCCCTTTAAAAAAAAACCCACCATTGTCTGCTTATCTTGCCTGTGCAAAGAATCCTTGGGTTAGCTGGGATGCAGATCTGCAGGGTTTGCTTTGTGGAGCAGCTGCCTGGAGTCAATAAAGAGCATCGATTTGGCCAATTACTGAAGAGTAGATCAAGTGCTGGATGTTCTCACCTCTGATTCCACATATCAACAGTTGGTTGTGGTACTGTCTTTTTAAAAACTGACCGGGATTATATCCACTGTCATTAAAGATTTAGTATGTATTGCCACTGAAACAGAGTATGCTTGAAATAGTGTGTTTTCAATTTGGAGGAAGGACATGCAATGGTGCAAATGTTACAGTGCTCCTTGGGAAGGGCGGTGTTGAGATTGCTTGTTGAGAGCACGTATTTGTAAACTATGCAAGGGGAGACAAAGGACGGAAGATAGAATTCGGTTCTAAAATGCATCTTTAAATTGAGAGGAAATGCTTGTCAAACTGCTGTTTATGATTAAGTTGAGAATGATAAGTGGACTTTATGGATTATGTCAAAACTCAATATTCTGGGTTCAGTTTGTTTTAGCATTACAGTTTGACTAGGGGCTTCTCTGCAGACACCCTGTCACTGTTCATCTAGTTCTGGAATTTCTTTGTGATGCGGTATTGCTTCACCTTCAACATTGTGATGTCAAGGTTTCCAACGGAGACTTCTCTCATGATGTATCAATTAGTGGTTGTTTAATACAAATTACAGAAATAGTGGTTTACATTAGAAGAGCATATGACATTGTTTCTTTAGAGTAGCCTCTTTTTTTATTTTATGCTGTACTGTGAGTCCTTTACTTTTTAATTATCAGTGGCTTTTATTATTCAAATCTAACTTCGGTGTTAACAGAGGGTTTCACAGATGCTGGTTTCTAGAAACCAGTTTAATTTCAATAAAAGAAAAATATTTGATCTCTTCTCCATGTCTGTTGCTTAAATCATTTCTGTAACTGAGTACAGGCATTAATAAGATCATTCATTTAACCAAGTACGTGCATTAATACGGTAAAATCTCTTTGAACCTTAGTTACTTTTTAATCTTTGAAATAAATTTAAAAGAATGAAACATTAGAATTTTTACCGATAAATTTAAATAGAAATTGAATAATTTGAACTAATGGTAGAATTAAGTGGTGACATTTCAACATTAAATATGATGATTTGGTATATTACGTTAGATATTTTCACTCAATTTTTATGAAGAGAAGGATTTTTATGAGCAGTAATTAAAAAAAAAAAAGTGAGTCTACTTAATGGAATTATTCTTCTCAAAATAAGTCATCCTGACATTGTTTTTTCCTCTTCTGATACCCTTTCTGGAATCTGGAAGCTTTTTACTCATTGTCATTTTTTTCTCAGTTTCAGCCCAGACTCTGAAGAGCAACCTTGATTCAATGAACCATCAGATCCAGCGTCTAGAAAATGACATTGAGAATTTCCCGAAAACACAAGATGAACACGATAAGTTTGTAGAAAAAATGAGCATATCCTTTTTGCATGTCTTCATCTGAACATTCTGATCGTCTTGTTAAGTATTTACAGTGCTTGAAAATAAGTTTTAAGTCTCCTCTTCCATGCTTTTAATTTAGTGCAGAGAAAAGCATAACAGAACATGCTGAAAGAAAGACCACGTGTAACTAAGTACAACTTAAAGAGTTTATAGACAGACTTTCAAGGGAGCAAACCAGATAGCTTTCTTGTAAGTACTCACAGTGGCTGGTCAAAAAGATGATAGTATGGGGCGTTTTGCCATAAAGAATGGTATTTAATGATAATTGTTGATTCATTTCAATCTAGAAAACTATCAGCAGTAGAATATTTATTATTTTGGCTTCAGTTATATATAGTTTTTTTGAAAAGGAGAGTAAGAATTTTGGTAATATTTTTTTTTTATTTATTTTTAGCCGATGATTTTAGAGAAAAAGTGTTTACATGTTTTGTACTCGACTGATTTGTACTTTTATTTCTGTAGGGAGTAGGGACTGTGGGTTCTTTAAGCACTAGCAAGTAAAGTCTGTGGGAGAACACCAAATGATGTCTGTCTAGCCTGTTTTCCCTCCAAAATTTTCATATATCCAGCTTTACTTTTGCTCAAAAGTATAAAGTTACAAGTAAAGTATACTGTAGATGCAAGAAGCTTGCAAAACTGTGAGAAATTTGCAGGTTTTTATTTTGCAGAAAGCACATTTCTGTATACGTGGGAGTATTTGGATTATGGTGCATGGCCAAGTCCGAGGCATTTTGTGCATTGATAGAAGCTCAGATAGTTCATGTGACATCTATTCTTTCTTACTGCGACTGGACGAAGTCATGGTTTTGTGGGTTTTTTCAAAGAAAAAAAAAAGAGGGGATAGTTGTCTAGGCTAATTTGTAGCTGCTCATCATATTTAGTAGGTGGATGTAATGAAGAGGGTCTCCTAACTACTGTGTGTTTGGAAAATAAGTTTTAGCAGGATTAACCATATGAATGGATTCAGTGATAGAAATTCACAGGCAGATATTAAGTATTTTCTCTATGTGGATTTATTTTAAGTTTCTGACAACACTGCAGAAAAGTAGCTTAAGGGAGACAACTCATGACTAAGTGGAAAATTGTTTCTTGTTACTTAAATATTCTCTTCCACCTTGTCTTATTTGCAAGGTTAGGAGACTTGCTAGTAATCACATTTATAAGTTTGGCTATTAGGAAAAAAAAAAGCTTATTATTTTCCTGAGTTATATTCACATAAGAAAATCGTATATTTCCTTGTAATTGTCCTTTGCCTTGTCACCATGTGTGTAGGCTGAATACTATCAAGTAAGCCCCACTTTTGTTCATAAATGAAACTAATACATTGAAATGCGCCTTTTGCAACTGCGTGTTCTTGTTAAGCTTGACAGCTCTGTTTTACAGGTTATATACATTATTGTTCAGTTGTATTGAGTAAATGCTTTGCCACTTGTTGTTTTGCTACCTATTTATTTACTGTACTTATAAAAATTATTTGTATCAGTCAAGTCATTTGGTTAGAAAAAAGAGCCAAGTAGGTAATGTTTACCTTTTTCAGTTTGACACTTGAATTTCTTAAAGAAGAAAGATCATCTGACAATGCAAAATAAGGGTGTTGTTTTTTTTAAAAATATACTAATGTTTTTTTGTATTTGCTAAAATAGGAGAATCCTATGAAATTTGTGAAAACTAATTGTTGAAAAGTCTCCTGACCAGCCTTATTTCAGTGCATGTACATTGATGTCACAGCTAGATTACCAATTCCTGGTAATTAAAATAGGCACCCTGAACTGTATATGCCTGACAGTTTTTATCATACTACTGAATTTGGTGGCTTGACAAAATAGATAAGACTGTAAGAAATGAGCTGATTCTGCCTAAGGATTTACGTTTTCATAATTAATAGATGACCTGATAAATGGTGTTTTTCGTTTTCAGAAAGTCATCTCCAGTGATGTTGAGTGATCAAATTTGTTTCTGCTCATCATTTGAACAGTTTTAAATTTTCTACACTCCCGTATTGTTTTCTAGATTGAAGAGTAAATGGTGTGTGTGTGTGTGTGTGTGTGACATCTTAGTCTTCAGTATATTTCTTTTGTTTCTGTCAGCTTGTTGAAGAATTGTTGATAGCGCATAGTGAGATTAGATAGTTAAAGAATTTCAGGCTGAACATCTCTATCTGCTTGAGTGTTTCAGAAAATTTGAGATGTGTCTGAACATAAATCAGCTCTCAGTAGAGAGCTCTAGGATGCAGGAATTATACCACAATTAACGGCAT